GAAACTATAATAAAATAGTCAATAGATACATACCTTCATTGATCGATTAAATTGTCCATGTGTATTTCGTGTAGTTCGCAAATCATAAAGTTTTATTCCTAATACACATCTCACATACTGCTGACTCATCCAAAGTTCACACTTATTTTTCAATCCACGGTAACTTTGACTAACTGCAACCTTACATACGATTCTAGCATGAGGATTCCCCTACAAAAGTATAAGATTAGAAAAATAGATAATGATAATATGCACCCAATTCAATGTACCATTGTATCGCTTGGGGGAGGTCCAATATTGAGAGGTCCAGGATTAGGAGGTCTTGGAACGTATGTCTTATTCGGACGTACTGCAATATCCGGTGCAATCCTAAGTCCATCTGCATTTGGTGAAGGATGAACTATAAAAAGGATGTAAGATATTAGAAAATCCATAGAAAGTCAAAGATCAAGCAAACTTGAATTTTCTTACGTGATTGACCCCTAACGACTATTGGTGGATTAATAATAACGCCACCATTTGGAATTCTGAAATACTCTTGTAGTAGTGCAACAACGGCTTCATGTACTTCTGTGCACATATCAATAATAAAAACGTTGCCGTTATTATACTCAAACTTGTATCCAGATGGTTCACGGCTTTCAAGAAATTTGTTGTAGTTTTTTATCGATATATTGGAACCAATCTTAAAAGGTAAACTGCAATTCATATGAACTAACACTTAGTGGAACTTAAAGTAAAGGATCACAGTTCTATGATAAAAACATATGTTACCTATTCTCCTCTATGGGTTCCTTTGGAAATTTTGGAAGTTGAAATTGTTCTTGAAGCTTCTTAGTTAAGTCACGAAACATTTTGAAAAAAGTTTGAGTAAAAAATTCGAAGTGGTTTTGTAGAAAATTATGTAGTTAAGTAAGATAATCGGGTTATCGATCACAAGTCACGAGATATTTGAAAGGCACGGGAGTTAGGGAAATCATAATGCGTCAATCACGCTTCGCGGAATACATTTCGGTAGGTAAACATTTAATATAAGCAATTTTAACCACGAAGTAATAGAGCTTTATTTTTTGCTTCGCAGTTACTAGTAACTAAACGAACTCCATTTTGCGATGCAGATATATTTTGGGCTAGGGTAAGTCCATATGTCGCATTATCTAAATTTCCATCCATATTATTTACATTATCGCCTGAATCTCCGCCTGTATTATTTACATTATTTGCATTACATTATCTCGATTACTATTCCCGTCTCTTCTACTAGGATCTCTTCAGGTGGGTGATGCGGATCGATCCCTTTGACTAACGGTGGATTCACGGCGACTCGTACTTAGAATTGATGGCACCTCGTAAGTTGGTAGTGAGATATATAGATATAAATATCGTTTGTATAGTTGTTCGTAATTTGAGGAATAAACATATGGATATCTCGAGTTTTAGCATTGGTATTTATGCGGGTCGATTTTAAAATATGGATTTATCGAGTTTTCCCAATTAAGAAACCAATTACATATCGATATGATTTCCTCATATATTACACTATATTTGTTTCTGTTATTTTAGTATGTGTGTTCTATATCGGGTACATAAAATCCCGCCTTCTCCTGATAAATCACTCGAAGCCAGATGTACATGTATATAGTTAGCAGATAATTGTCAACAAACAGATGTGCTATTTTTCTTTTTCCGAACTGGAGAGGAAAAAGATCTATTTCGGATGTATTACAAAACATATGATTTAATTTTCCAGCGATAGGAATGTATGACACTCACCATTTTGAGATCGCCCGGTCCTAGATATGCAAATCCGAGGCATACGTATTCAGTCTCACAGAGTGGGGATGCTATCGCATCTAATTATACTGTATTACTTTTACATGAAAAAAAATCAATGAACGTCCATAGATTTACACTGGTTAAAGTATGGTCAAAGTGTTGTTGGAACGTGGTTGGAAAAATAATTAATAATACAATATGTCGTAATATAATATAGCCAAAGTGCGGTTATGTTAGTCTGAAATATACGATTATATGAGTCAGAGACTCTATGCTCCGCATATTATTCTCTTTAATGGTAGTGGGACATATGATGAACTAGTTAACATCGTCCGACGATATACTGTCGATATACTTGATAAAAATTTGCAAGGTAGAGATTTTATTGTTATCGATGAGTATTAATTACGATTTTCACTTTATTACGTTTCATAAGAAATAGTACGATTTTTTATTCATACATTCATGGTTTTATTACGTATGGCAAAATATATCAATATCTGATTTTCCACGACGTGGCAGTCACAAGGGCGCAGTAATGTGGCGCAGTAATTCACTTCGTTGTCTTCAAACATTTGACAATTACAAAATCAATATCATCTCTACTTAAGCTTGAAATGGAATATGCAGAAAATGATCTAATTAACACTATTTTTTGTTTCGCTAACTTCTCATCCCCTTTAACAATAGCAGTGAAAAGCCTATAGATTTTTCGGGCTCTCTCCGTTCTCTTCCTTAAGGCGCCATCAGTCACTTCAATAGGTATTTGTTTCCTAACCTCATCAAAAAGTAGAGCATTCGCTCCTTCCTTGCCATTATCTTTTTTTAAATCCTTATATCGGTTATATAAAATTCCTCCAAAGTCGAAATGACTACTAATGACTTCTTTATTAGTAACTTGATATTTAGATTCGGATTGATCGATCTTTCTAAAAAAATATAAAAAATCGTCAGCATTTCCTTTGGTGGAAGCAGTCATAGCATGACTAGAGGCACTCTCTTCCATAGCTTCGTCAGTTTGTAAAAAATCGCTGGATAACAATTCATCAATAAGCTTTTTCAGTTTCGACGATTCTTCTCTATTAACAGGCTTCTTGATCTTTTTATTAGAGGAACTTGCCGTAAGGGTAGCTTCGTTAACACGCTTTTGCGGTAGGTTGGATGGAATTTCAACTCAATGTCCTGTTCTTTCATTTCCATCCATATCCGCATCTTGATCTTGAGACGAAGTTTTTTGAGAACTAAATTCAACATTACGGGTAAATTCATCAGCCAAATTCAAAGTACCACTTATTTCAAAAGATACAGAGACCCGTCTTTGAGTTTCATCAATATTCTCGACGCTTCTACTGCAACCAGTAAAAGGGCATATGCTTGGTGTTGTGTACAGAATTTTTTTTTCGATACATATTCTGTGAAAAATGTGGCCACAACCCCCGAGAACAGTAAACGATTGGTATGTAAGTGTTAAAATTTTTTCTTTGCATATTGAGCATTGAAGTGGTTCGAGATTTTCTGCATCTTGGGCGATATCTCCTATTTCTTTTAGGATATTATACGCAAGGGCTTTGAGGGTAAAAAGAGACATATCAATAATAGATATGATCAGATAGGAATGAGTCAAAATTAGCATATATCCAAAATGGAATTGCACATCTCGGAGTGATGATCCCAAATGACACCTTGTACAAGCAGGCTTACTATTCTTAATAAATGTAAAAAAGAACAACCATTTAGATCTGATTGCTTTATTAATACAATAAAAAATACATATGAAGTGGGAACAATCTACCCACTATTTTAAGGTTATTTTTTTGATCCTTGCTCTCTTACTGGCAGGAGAGTTATCGACGCTGATCCGATCTTTTAACAACCCAACAA